TTATTTTTCGGTTATGCAAACGGTACTGGATTAAAATTTCAAACTACAAAAATGCATAAAATAGATGAAACAAGAAAAACGTTAACTTCGGTTGCACCAAAGCTATAATAATCTTCACAAATACAAAAGATTCCATGCAGGAAATTTTTTTGTGATCGGTCGTCGTTCTAAAAATTTATTTTTTGAGATTGCACTGTTGCCTGGCATAATAATCAAGCGCTAAATTACGCGAAGATATACTTGCCAGTAAAAAAGATTTCAATACAAAAACTTGATTTTGCTGTGTCAGTTTGTATGGCAGCTATATGCTATAGTAATCCGATCTAAAAAATATTATTCGAGTATTGTAGCGTTACTTTTGTGTGTAATTCTTGCCAAATTCTGTAAAGATATTTCGATAAATAAAAAAGTTTTCAATACAAGGACTTGATTTTGATCGCTTAGTTTATATGACAGCTGTATGCTATAATGATTCGGTTTGAACAATTTCTTTGGAGATGGTATCCTTGTCTAAGACAATAATCCCTGTTAAATTTTTTGAAGATATTTGCACAAAAAAAAGGTTTTCCATACAACAACATGATTTTTATCGTTCAGTTTGTATGGCAGCTACCATATATGCGATTGTGGTCCGATATCGCCGGTGCCAAGAAAGTGTAGATCGACACCTCGAAAACTTACGGATCAGTTCACTTACATACAGACAGAGAAAGTAGTTCTAAGGACCTTCCGAACTATCCAAATTATTTTTATATTCAATGTATTTAAAAAGACGGTCAATATGCCTGTTCTGTGTGCAAAGTTTCCGAATTTTCGAATTGACAGTTTCCCCGATGAGTAATTCTCTAAACAATTTTTTCTGCCTGAAGACCTCCAAATGATTTTATTGTAAAATGTTTCAAAAAAAACAGATCATTCTAAAAAGCTCCGTAGAAAATTTTCTATTCTATAACTCTTTTACCCGATAGATTCTCTGATCAAAGAATTTTCAAAAAAGATGTCGAAATAACTATTATTTTCTGAAGGAGCTATAGAAAATATTCCACTGAGTTTTTAAAACATCTTACCTTTAAAGCATCTTGTGAATATCCAAATCATACGAATGTAAACTTTCGAAAAAACAAGTCAATATAAGCCATGCATGACAGCATTGTAAAATGTTTTATGAAATTATGAAACGCCTAAAATCTTTAAATACAAGTTTGAGTTATTCCAAAAATATTTAAAGGAAACTAAAAACGCTTTTTCACATTACTTTACATTAATTTAGAAGCCAAATAATTGCTTTTCTTTAAGTAAATATTGCATTTAATTACTTCAGACTCAGCCCCTACTTGATATTTAAGCATTTTTTCGTGTTCACCTTATCAGAAAGTCCCCAATTCCACATTTTGTTGTGAAAAAGAATCTGAAACTGTGATTTAATTTAATTAAATCTAACAATAACTGATTTGATTTCATTTTCCTGTTGAGTTCACATTGTTTTTAACTAGAAGTCATTGTGCTCATTTTATTTGAACAACTTTTCAGTGCAATTTCACTGACCTTGCAGCAAACGAGACTGAGCGCACAGCATTGACGACTAACGAGACAAGTGTGCCGGCTGGAATAACAAAACCAAAAACAAAAATAGATAAAATAGGTGAAACAGCAACAACAACAAATTGATTATTTGGCTGCCGAACATGCAAACTCACACACACACACACACTTGTATAAAAGCAATCAAGTTTTGCAAATGCATCCGGTGCACAGACAGCAGCCGCTATAGGCGTCGTTGCTTTGTTGTTGCTTTATTTTTCTCTTTTTGTCGCTGTTATAACAAATGGCTGAGCTTAGAGTTTACAGTTAAGCAGGGCGAGATTTGTAAAATCAATGTTTGTTTGTATGTATTGTTTAGAAGCTTCTGCTGTCAATCATCTCTTAAATGTGCATGCGTCTGTATGTGTGTGAGTGTTTTGTTATGGAAAAGTCGCCCGTTGTGTCACAAATCAGTTTGCGTCAATAATATATGTACGACTTAAAGCGCTGCGAAAAGCAGTAACAGTAGAAATTTGTTTATTTCTAGATATAGAAATATTTTATAAAAATATATAAAAAACAAAATTTTGTTATATTAAAAAAAAATAAAAATAATTAAAAAACGAAGAAGAAATGTAACAAAGAAATAAAAAACATTAATATAAATTAAAAAAAAATTAAAAGTAGGTTAAATATTAGCAAAAAACATTAAAAAAGAATTTAAAAGAAAAAATTGATAATTTTGATAAAAGAAAAAAATTATATAAAAATATTTAATATTGTAAAAATTTAATAATGTTTTTATGGGCACTAAAATTAAGAAAACAGACGGCATAACAGAAACTATTTTATAAAAAATACAAAAAATCAGAAAACAATTTTTTTTTGCATACATTTTTTCATAAAAAACAAAAAAATGGAAGAAAATTTATTTTATAGTTATTAAAAAAGTTAAAACTAAATAAATATATACAAATCTATAAATAATAAAAAAAGAATTTTTGGCTCTCACAAATGTTGTTAGAAATCATACCTTTTATTTTTAATTTTTGGTTTATGCGTGATTTTATTATTATTTTTTTTGTATCAAATATATTATAGTACAGTATATAAAAATTTTTTTTTTAATATGTAAAATTTTTATAAAATGTGTTTTTGTATTTTTTCTTTGTTTTAGAAGCTTAGTTCTTTTTTTTTTTTTTTAATATACACATTAAGAGTTAATTTTTTCTGAGTATAAATATTTTCGATTCAACTGCATATATTTATTTTTTTTAAGCTTAGGGCTTTTTTATTATAATGGTATTGTAATAAAGTAATAATAAAAATATTTACAGAAATATAATGAGCAAGTTATTTCGGTCAAACTTTTTATATTTAATTAATTTCTTGTGTTTTGAAAAAACTTCTTCGTTTAAAAAAATATTTGTTCACTTTCAAGTATATGCAATAAATCTATATAAATAATTATTAAAAATACTCTTCAAAAATTTAATTTTTCTAACTTTCAAAGTTATTTTTAGCTGTCAATGCTAAACTTTGAATAGAAATTTATTTGGCAAACAAACGAAAGAAACAGTTCATTTGAAAAGCTATAAGCTAATTTTTTCAATAAAAAGATTTGGGAAATTGTGTACCCAAGCAAAAATTATCTAAAAAATTTGGTTTCAAAATTGTTATTAAAAATTTATTTCATTGCCATTCCTTGTTTTGTACTCATATACGATTTTCGATCTGCAAATGTATTTTTATTGTGGAAAAAATTTCAAAATTCTTAAAAAATATTTCATGTGAAACCAAAAATATATACATTAGTGTGGGTCAACAAAAACGAATAATTTTTCGCTTAGTACTCTGTAAAATAGGTTATTAGATTTATTACATATAACATTTATGAAAATCTCTCCCAGTATGTGCGCTTAATTCTAACGGGAAGACTTGCGGCTTTGGAGTTATCCATTATTTTTATTATCAGATAGTAAATTTCATATCTCACTTTCAACTGCTTAAAAAAAATTACTCGTTTCATAGGTTTTGTATCAATCAAATTATATCGGCAATTGCAAAAAAATGAGCAGCTTCTTGAGGAGAAAAAGATTCGTACGAAATTTCAGCGTTATATCTCAAAAGCGGAAGGACTAGTTAGTGTATATACAGAGATACAGATAGACACACAGATTTCCGACGATTGTTGCTGTGTGTTACAAGCTTCATGGCAAACTTGATATACCCTGTACGGCGTATAAAAATAAATGTTTGTATTGCTTAATATCAAACAAAATTAAAAATTTCAATACTAGGAGTAAAATATAAAAACAGTTTCGAATATGCATTTCTTTTAATTTTTTTCGAGAATAGTTTGTTTTTAAAAAATTTACTACATATTTATTTTTTATTCTATTATTTAGCAGGTCTCATTAGTCTCTTTAGATAAATTGTAAACTTTTACACAAAATATTTCTATCAACGTTATCTGACCTAAGTTTAGAAAAAACTTGCAAAGATTTTTAGTTTTTTAATAATCCTTTAAAATAAAATTTTTTATTTAAAAATAAAATAAGCAAAATTAAAAAAAAAAAATATTTTAAATATTATCAATATTTTCAAATTTTGCAAAATTAATACTCAGGAAAAGGTAGATTAAATAAAAAAAATGTATTTTGGAAATAAAACAAGCACTTGAAAAGATAAATTTTAATAATTTTAGCACAGTTAAAAAAGTGTTAGCTTTAAAAAAAATTAACCAAAATCTATGAAAATATTTCTAAAGCTTATAGTTTTTTAAAAATGCTACAAAATTTAATTTTGTAATTTAAAAATAATAGGAAAAATTATAAAAAAATGTTTTGCATATAATAAATATTTCCACATTTTGCCAAACTAAAACTATTTTTTTTTAGTTTTTCAGCACAGTAAAAAAAAGAAATTCCAAAATATTAACAGCTTTTAAAAATTTTACAAAATAATTTTCTGTATTAAAAAACTGCTAAGCCAAATTACAAAAAAGGCTTAAAAGATTTTTTTATAAATTTGGAAATAATACAAAATAAATTTTTTTTATATTAAAAACAGCTGAGCAAAAAAAAAATATTTTCACACGTTTTTTCAGTTTTTGAAAATCATACGAAAAAAATTTTTTTTGCATTACAATTTCGCAGTGCTATGCATTGAAACCGAGCATCTATGAGACCTAACTTCATTTTTTTAATAATTATTTAGAATGCTTCAATAAGCTGCTTGAAACATGCTCGTTGCATGGTAAATAGGAAAGCTGATTTTATTGTAAACAATAATACAAAACACGCTGTTTGGAAACGTAGCTGAGTCACAATTAAGAGCCAAAAATTATGAATTTTGTTTTTTTGTTAAAAAATTAATATTCTATATTTATATATGTTACTTGCATCTTTTCACAATCACACACCACGGAAATAGTACAAAGTATATTTCTAAATAAATATCAGTAAAAAAATGCTTACTAATTGCTTGCAGCTTCTTTTCAAGCATTGACTAAGCAAAGCTGCTATTGTTGCTATTATTTAAACTGCTGCAATAAGATTCGATATTGTTGCTAATGTTGTTGTTGTATACATAAACTACAACCTAAACTTTGTAAGTAAGCAATTTGGCAGTTTTAGTTGCGTTTAAACAGTGTTTACTTAAATTCTTTAACCACTTTCACTTGGCTGCCACTTGTCGCTGTAAGCTAGCGCTTCTAACTACAAATGTTACACGCTTTTCACACACACATTTTAAATTGACATTTAATAGGCTTTTAAGTTGATATTAGCACCATTACGGCGAAACGCACACACGCGTGTACACAACGGAGCGGCTTAGGAGCACGAAACCGCTTTAACAGGCCGGACAGAAAACAGCGAATGGAAGAACGCTAAGCTCGCTGCCAGCATATAGCAACTGCAAGTATTTATGTATGTGTGTTTGTATGTATTTGCGTTGCAACACTGCCACGTCATATGCCAGGCCCGTTTTTGGGGCTACGCTATGCACGCTGAGCGCGTCCTGGCCGCAAAGTTCACGCTTCACTTTATACACTTTTTACGCTGTTTTTGGTGTTGGCCGCTGTTGTTGTTGTTGTTATATCCCTACGTTTTAACTACACCAGTTTTCACCGTGCGCTAATTGCACACACACGCGCGCACATCTGTATTTGCGTAATTCGCATACCGTTCTTTTATTTTGTGGGGGGGAGGGGGCACAAAACACTTTTCAACGGCTGGAAAATTTTTCGCTTGCACCACTTTTCAGCTGCAATTCAACGATTTTTTCGTATGGCGCTAGCTGTCGCTGGCCCAAAACAAATGGGCGTTACACATATGCAAACTCGCACACACACACACATACGCGCGCGGCACAGTTACACGCGCGACCACCAAATATAACGGTAAAAAATTATTGCACTCACTGCACGACATTTAACGCACAGGACAGCAGCACAAACCGCATCGCACTGTTTTGTAAGCAGACAATCGGTCGTACGCTAGTCGCTATTTGCCGTTAATTTTCCGTTTTATACGAGTAGGCGCACACAAACGATGGACGACGACGAAAAAAATGTGTAATATATAACATGAAATGTTACGCGTAAATCCCGAAAGTTCCGACCGTACCCGCGGGATCGTAAACTCTCACTGAAAGATTTTTATGGTACACAAAGATGAATGCCAACGCATCGGTTGTGTACGGTGGCTAAACAGTGTCACAGCTTCCAATAGAATTCGGCTACGGCTCGTAGGCTACAACTGACGACGAATGTGCAGAGATAAATGCGAAGCACATAGCGACATCGTAATACACGCTCACACGCTGGAGCGTCCGCTTGGAAAATTTACAGCATTGGCATGCGAGCGCTCTGTGTACAGCATCCCAGCGCATCCAATCCAGCAGCTGTGTAACGGAGCGCGCTTGAGTGCACACGAAAACACATAAACGAGCGCCAATCTCTGTACTTCGTTTGCTGGTTGCAGCAAATTGCCGGCAGAGTTCGCGCTTGCTCGTAAGGCTCTCGGCTAGATTGGAAATTTGCTGAGTAGTAACTCGGCAATGCGTGAGCGCGCATTTGTAGTTGGAAAATGTGTGCGCCTGTAAGTAGACTTTGGGAAAGCCTTCGTCGCTTGTCGCTTACATCTTACATACTTGTGACGCGTGTGCGTTGTGTAAACAAGGCGTGTGTAACACGAAGTGTTGTCGCTTCCAATGAGTTGTGTGTGAGTAAAGCTTTACCTGGCACGAAAACGAACCGTACAACCGTAAGACTTTCTCAGCATTTAATTACTATGTTATAGGTAACAGGCGCTCTTTTGCTATAAAAATGCTAGACATTTGTTTGACGCGGTACAAAGTATTCGAATCATAAATGACGGTTAGAATATTTTAGAGTTATCTTTGTTGGATATAAAGCCGCGTTGTATCCGCTTACGTAGACCCGCTGTTCCGAATGAAATGTAAACTGCAACTAATATTCCTTCCCATGCTAGAGTGGTGTTGACCGGTCTTTGGGAAGTTTAGAGACTTAGATCTTTATCCAGCGGCGAATTTGACTTTACCAACTGCAAAATTTCTTTTATTTTCACTATATAGATTTTTACAAACTGACTCTCTTAGTGAACTCTTTACCGGTCCACTGGACTATCTTAATAATATCATATTTCTACCACATTTACGAGGTAACGAAATAAAACTCTCTCTAAAAGTTTGTGTGGAAAGCTAACAAAATGAGAGTTCTTAATTAAATATAAATTCGAATTCATACCGGCCCCGTAAACCCGACTGTTGTAGAGTCTGGTCACAAAGCGCAGACAATCATCAAATTTGAACGACACTTTCGAAAATCTAGGTTTTGGAGGCTCTTTTTTTAATTTCTGCATCTCTTTTATATGTTCTTTAAACTGTTAAGTTAGATTCAAGGTCTGATTCTTAAGATAGGCTATCACTTGAACTACTATATGCTGGCCGTTGCAACGTCATAAAATAGAACTACTCTAATCAGAATTTTTAAGTCGACAAAGCGCTTTGCGACCAATACGAAACTGCTTAGGAGCTTTATTTATAATTCGCACCAGCTTAACGGGATGTCTAAAAGCATACGCTCCCAAGTATTTGAGCCTTAATCTAGGAAACATGAAAAGCCTTACTGAGGACAAAGAGCTTAGTGGACTCCTTGCGATTCACCTTATACCAAAACGATATTGCAACTGCGCGAGAACTTAAGGTAGCTCAGCGTTGGCAAAGCTCTCGCGAAGCCCAACTATACAAAAGTCAAAAAGATCAGCAAATTATACGAACAACAATATATATTTCTTAATTTAAATGAAAAAAAATTTTTTTTTAGAGAAATGTGCTTATATTATTATTTTAGTGCTCTGTTTTTCACGCTCACTTCCATTATACTTGAATTAAAACTTCTCTCTTGCGGGAATTTTTCTTCTCTTAGCTGCTTTTAAGCGACGGGTTGACAAAAGGAATAGTTAGACATGCCTTAATGTGCGTATTTTACGACAAACAAATTTTTTTTACATAAATGCTGAGCCATATATATATTTTTTTGAAATAGATGGAAGCATAAGCAGAGAAATGCGTGGTAATAAAATCAATATTTTTTTTGTCATAATTAATTAGCAGTTATTAATATATGGTATATGCCATTAGGGGATTCGAACATTTCGTTATTAAAGTTATACGCATATATGTAAATCTATGCATGATTTGTTTTTTATATTTAAATAATAACTAAGCTGTAATATACTTTCCAGTTCCATTTCTTTCAACAACTATATATATAATATATTTAAATCTGAAAATGGAACCGGCGAACTTTTTGTAGTTCTTTCTATTCTACATATGTGCTATAATGGTTCGACTTGAACAGTATTTTTCGATGACTATAGCGTTACCTTTGAAAATAATCTATGCCGAATTTCGTGAAGTAATTTGAGTGAATTTTAGCCAACTTTTTTTATGAAAAATTTACAAGTATTTATATCAATCGCTTTAGATGCAATTTTCCTTAAGCTCTTAATTTTAACTAATAATCTTAATTTTAACTAATTAATATACCGTGAATATAATTGTTGTTATAGCCTGTATAAATTGTGAATTTAAACTGGGCTTAATTAAATACTTGCATGTAAATAAAACTACCGAGTTATGAAGCTGCAAAATATACACATATATGTATGTAATAATTACATATATACATATAAGAGTACATTGTAAATACTCATACGTAGCTCTCTTCCGCTAAAGAGCATCTTTACAACGACTGGAATATGGAAAATAGGAAAATGTAGTAACAGTGACTAAAGTAAAGAGCAAATGGAAGGAGAGCAAATACAAAGAGAGCAAATGCAAGGAGAGCAAGTGAGAGTGTGTGTCCAAAAAGCTTTTGCATGCTCAACTCAACAAGTTTTGCGTAAATTTTTATAGCAGATAAATTGGAAGTCAGTTTGAATATAACGTCATTTTTAATGTTTGAAAGTATAAATTTCAACAAAATTTTGTTTGGCATAAGTAAATCGTGCCAATATTATCTCATGGATATATGTATGATATAATATTTGAGGAAATTTCCACTGGGAACAATTAGTCTCATATAAGTGCTCCATTTCCCAAGCCAATCGTGCACAAATTCTTATTTTTCTTATGCTTTAGCCTCAGAAGGAACTTAAACGACTTATAACAGTTACTAATTTGATCAGTCAGCGAACATCTCGACCTTAATAAGACTAAGAAACACATTATATATATATAGTATATGGTAAGTTAGTATAGTTAGCGAATACTAGAGCAGCTTTTTATTGTGTCGTACAAAATTTCCAATACTCTACTTGTTCCACGTGAAATATATTTTACAGTATGAGGCTACATACCTTATTCCTTACTTTTTTGGTTTTTTGGTGTTAGGCCGATTTTTTTTCAATCTATGATGCCGGGACAAATAGACGCAGTTATAACTTCTAAGTTGGCCCATTAGCCACTCGCGCAACAGCAGCCTAATTTATTAATGGATTTTTACTATTTACAAACTATTTTTATATTCTTAACAGGGTATATTAAGTTTGCAATGAATTTTGTAATACACAGTGCGAAACGTAGGAGACCCTAGAAAATATATATGTGTATGATCAGCGTCACGAGTTGGGTCGATTTAGACATGTCCTCGTCTCGGCCTGTCTGTGTTCATACACGCGAACCATTCCATTAGTTTTTGAGATATCGTTCTGAAATTTTGCACATGCTCTTTTCTCACCAAGCAGTTGTTCACTTGTCGAAGCAGTTCAGGTCGGACCACTATTGCATATAGCTGCCATACAAACTGAACGATCGGAAACAAGTGCTGATATGGAGAGCTTTTTGCTGCCATACAAACTGAAAGATTGGAATCAAGTGATTGTAAGGAATATTTGGTACTAGTGAAGGATATGTTATATATTATAGCTTCGGTGCAGTCAAAGTTAAAGTTTTTTTCCGGTTTTAAGTTAAATTGAAGATTTTAAAAGTCTCAACTGCTTAAGAATAACTTATGGGATTTAGTTCGAGACTTTACCGAAGCCAGAGCTATACTTACAATAACAAAAGTTAATATCTATAATAACGGTCTCGAAGCAACAGGCAATGATTGGCTAACTCTGGATGTTAAATGTAAGCCGTCCATGTTGAGTATACTCCTTAAATAAAAGAGGTTATCATCGTGTTAAAGTACATTTATCTTGTAAAGGATCAGCATATAAATTTATTTAATTAAATTAAATAAAGAGATAAAAATGTATTAAGAGTTGTAACCAATTTTTTTTTAATTCTTCCTAATTCTTAAGTTCCAACTAATGGCAAATAACCCATTTCATACTTAAATAATAAAATTAAAAAACTTAAATTTAGAAAATTAAGAGCTTTACCTCACCTTCCAAGCACTTAAAAGCATTATCTCTTTAATCTAATAAAGATTTAAATGCAACTCAATTGCTTTTGTGGCAGGAAGTTAAAGGCCAATACAAAGCGCCGCACCGCGCCACACGTCCCACCCAACGCTCATACCCAAATTCGCCAACAAAGCAAGCGTATCTCCTGTGGGGTTAATTCAGGGACAACAACGACAGACACAGACAAAGCTAATTAGGTTTTCATATTTCATTGAACCAAATTAGCGCAGCGTACTTTCCAACCTTTCACTCATTCGACCGACGACTGAGTGTGGCCTACCGAGCGACCGCCTGCCCACACACATCTTCCGTTCCCGTTAAATCAGTTCAACCGAGCGAGCGAGCGAGCCACCGAACGCCTACACCCGCCCGCCAATAGCGGTTGACCAACACAATTCGCAGCGGCAACTGATTTCGAAGGCTAAATGCATACACACACAAACACACATACACACCGCGGCTCTTTAGCTTAATGAGAACGGGATGTACTAAGTGTACCGTGCTGCTGGTGGCGGTGGTAGTGGCGATGGGGCTAAGTCATGGTAAATCAAACCGATGCAGATGAGTTGAGTTGGTGGTGTTGTTCGTGTGAATAGCCGTTGGCTGTGGGAAATCTATGCTGTTGCCTACGTTACAGCGCATAGTGGCTGTAGCTGTTTGTTGTTGATACTGTTGTTGTTATTGTTTTTGTATTGCCAACGTGCTGGCACTGTGGTGTGGACAAATCAAGGCAAAGCGCTACATTTTAATTGAGGGTCAATTATGTATTGTGGCACACAAACACATCAATCTGCACACACACACACACACATATATATAGAGATATTTGTATACTCACATATTTATATGTGT